TATTTTCGTAACAATAAGTTATCCGCCCAAAATATTTTCAGCGTATTCATATCTTTTTGGGAACTACATAACGCAAATGGTTTCAACGCAAAAGCGATTGAACAGTTGATGGTCTTCTCTCGTTAGAAGATATATCATGTAACTCTCATTGAATGACAGTATAGATCAAATGTATGTCTATTGTGTTCTATATTCTAAATCCTTTGTGATCCGACAAATCTTTCTAAACTACTTAAATTCATCTTAAAATGAATGAATCCTTACTTATCAAGTATTGCTTCCAATTGATTAAAATCGATGAAATGAACATTATCATGTGTAACAAGTAAGAGAAGACATCTTACTGCATTTAATGTTTCAATAGCGGATTCATTTAATAAATTCAACTCAAGACGAATCGTTCGTCGTTTATATGTTAATGAAAAACATTTTCGATCATTTTCATTTAATATCATCCTACTTTGAAATCTGAAATTTTAGACGAGATAAGAAAAACAATAGTAAATTCTTTATTGTAAACTAATTTATTATGAGTATAAAAAGAAATGAAATTTATTTCACAAAAATATTTATTTACTTTTTAGCCAGAAGAAAATCAATAGAAAATGTTTGCTGTTGAAATTCTTAATCCGATAACGATGTCATGTATAGACTTTGATCAAAAAGTAGTAATACTAATGCATGGGTTAAATTTGAAACAATTTCAAGATCACTGTGACAACAAACAATTACTAAATATTACTAAAATAAATTTTTAAATTCAAAGAAAAAGAAAATATTTCAAGTTCATTTTATACTTTTCAATAATAGTTTAAGTAATTCGTTATGTAATGAAAATTTCTTTTGTAAATTTCTATTATATTGTATTAGCAATCGAATTATTTTTGTACAAGGTGGAACAGTTGAAGTATAATCCGTCTAACAAGAACAAAAAATGGAGCAAAGCATTAAATTTTTTCATCAGTATTGTTTTTTTTTCTTACTGAGCAAACAATATCGTCACGTTTTAGATTTAATCTTAATTCTTCGAGAATGTTTTCAAAACCTCCATGATTAAGAAATGATGGATCAGTTAACATCATTGCCATTTGTTCAAATGCTGATTTACGAACGCTTGTATCTATTTTACTACGATCAGTGAATATTGCATAAGCACGAAGAAAACTTTCAACCTAAAACTAGAATTATAGAAATAAAGAAAGAAAAATTTTACCATGAACATTACATTAACATATTCTTTTGTTAAGATTTCTGCATCATTTATTGACTGTGTATTAACAAATAGATCAAATAATTTATCAGCTGGATAAAATTGATGAAAATCATCAAGTCTTATACGAGTATTTGCTAGCAGATAACCAACACATTGGCGATAACCTGTTTTTCGAACACTAAACAAAATTGATATAGATGATCAAAAATTGCTATAGATTAATAATAGCTCAAATGACAAGAACTGAAAGCGTTGATTTAATGTTAGTTACGATTCTTTTTCTCGTTCCGTATCTGATGTCAACACCAAAATAAATTGACCAAGTGGATCAATTTTATTTGCGTAAGTCTAATGAATAAAGAAAAAAAAATCATATGAATAACTTTTTTGAATTCAACAAAAATTATTTTTCTACTTGTAATTGTGGTAAAAGTATTGCAATATTAGTCATAAAATTTCTCCAATATTCATTTGATACTAATAATTTTGATTGAAGAAGATGAAGAAGAACTAATCGACAATAATCTGAAACTTTAGAAAAATATAATTAATCACGATCGATTACTTTTGACGCAAAATCTTAGATGCCATTCACACATAATTCTGTTAATTATATCTTTTCTTACTAACTGCTGCAGGTATTTCAGTTGATTCATGTGTCATATATTTAATTAGAACATCAAGTGACAAAGTCTTTTCAGATAAATCACATTTCCAATTATTTTTTGAACTGAAATTGAAAAAAAAATTCAACTTTCTCTCGCTGTCAAAATGATTCTAATTACATTTTTGAATAAGCATTAATAAAACGTTTAACGACATTAAAATTTAAATGATAAGGTAAATCTAATAAAGCTTCATCAGCATATTTAACTATTCTCCTATAATTCTAAATTGAAAATAAATCAAACGATTTGCTTCACCTTTCTTATTTATTTATGTACTTAAGTTCTCTTTTCATCGCTAGT